CTGGGCCATGAGAGAATGCTGAGGGTTGCAGCCAAGAGAGTGGGGAGGTGCAGGGAGGTGTAGGCAGTGGACTGGAGCAATGTGGGCAGAGGCGGGTGTGAAGTGTAGACCTGCCATCTGTGAGTGGAACAGGAGAAGTCTCTTGAGAGCTGCCGCCTGTGGAATCTGGAGCCCAACGCACAGATGTTTGTATTTCCAGGCAACATGTCTGCATGCGGTGGGCAGAGGGCACGTAAAACAAAGTTGTGGCAGATGCCACTGGTTACCCACCCATCTCCCCCAGAGCTTTAGTGCATGAGGGTCAAATTCTGTTGAAGCACCTGCGTGCATTTCTTTGCCTAGGGACTTTCTCTGCACACTCATGTGGCAGGCAGAAAGTTTGGAACATTAGCACCCAGAGGGAGCAGCCCAAACAATGACTGATGGGGAATGGGTGTATAAATGCCCCACCTCCCTCACCCTACTGATGTGACAACACTGAGATTTGTGCTCTTCACAGCCACCCAGAGCTCCCCCATTGCCCATAGTGATCAATAAGTTGATAACACGTGATTTATTGGCTTCCTTCTCTTCCCTGTGTCTTTTTCCCACTACACTCAAGCTGTTTCATTTACCTCCCAAATTAACAATTTGTATTTCTATTCTTGTCAGTCTGCTCTGGGAGAGCTCAAAGTAAGACAAACCCTCACCGGGTGGGAAACCCTCAGGCTCAAGTTGGAAAACCTTGGGGCTGAAAGGCTGAGTTTGCATTCCAGCTCCTTGTGTAAGGACTTCCCAGCTCACAGCAGACTTCAGGTTGGTTGAGCATAAATTACCATATTAATGTTTACAGCATACTACAGTACACCATGTTGCCCACCAGTCTGAATAAAAACCAGGGTAATAACAATGCCCTTTGGCCAACTTGAGGCTCACCACTGAAAAGCATAGTCCACTGATTTGTCATCCTGGGCTAAATATAAAAGAATTGTAGCCTGAGTCAGAAAGCTATTTTCAGCACTCTGTCTTACTTCGCAGCCCTTGAGCGATGCTGTTCTTGAGGGCCACCTTCCTGGAGGCTGAGGTCTACACCGATAGCCCCCACATTCCAGGGATGGCCCAACTCCTCTCCCAGGGAAAATTATTTCCTTCACACATCCTGACTAATGCGCCAGTGGCCCCCAAACCCAGTAGGTCTCAGCTGCTATTTCTGGCTATTCTCCAGAGCTAGGAACTGGGTCCTTTCCCAGATCGAGTTCTCTTCGCTCAAAAGCCACAGAAATGGGGGTAAGTAGTAGACACCAATAGGCCAGACACGGTGGCTCACACCTGTAATTCCAGGACTTTGGGAGGCTGAGGCAGGCAGATCACTTGAGATCAGGAGTTCAATACCAGCCTGGCCAACATGGCAAAATACTACTGAAAATACAAAAATTAGCCAGGTGTGGTGGTGCATGCCTGTAGGCTCAGCTACTCAGGAGGCCAAGGCAGGAGGGTTGCTTGAGTCCAGGAGGTGGAGGTTAGAGTGAGCCAAGAGCATGCCACTGCAGTCCAACGTGGGCAACAGGAGAGAAACGCTGTCTCAAAAAAAAGGCACCAATACTTATTAAGAGCCTGCTAAGAGCTGGGACCTGAAATATATAAATCTTCACAAAAGTCCTTCTAGAAAAATGATGTTAAAAGGAAAGTAAGACTTAGATGGTCACATAACTTACTCAGAGCTACATGACCAAGGTTTCAGAAGCCTGTGCTATGTAATGCTATGGGACCCTCCTCCTCCCCTGTGGTGTCTCTCTTAGCGCCAGGAACTGTCTCTGTATGGTGGGGTGTCGGGTAATAAGCAAAGTTGCTATTCCCCACGTCAAAGAGAGGGGAATGGTGCCCCTGCCTCCTCAGTATGGATTCCTGCTCTTTTTTCTTTGATGGCAAGAGGAAGAGAGAGAAGGTCCCATAATTTGTCAAGGACCCCCCACCCTTGGCCTGCTTAATCTCATAGGCACCTGTAACCTCTATCCAGGATGGAACACCCCTGCGCCCACTGCTCTCTTGTCCCTACTGCTGCTGAGGGTGAGTGAGGATGAAAGAGTGGCCTCTGCTGCCTAGATGGTGCCTTTGCATTGGGTCATGTGCCTTGCTGGAAAAACAGCCTTTTCTGGGCCCATGGTAGGGATGTCAAGGGAGACATTTGTGGAAAGGAGGGTCTTCCTGGCACAGCTCAGATCTCAGTGCTCCTGCCCCATCCTGCCTTGCCCTTTCCTTTTTCAAAGCCATCCCAGAAGTCTTTCCTGACCACTTCCCCTGGAACAGCCCCATTGCCTTGCATTTCAACAGCCAATGGGCATTGTGTTTATGGAGGCTTAATTCCAGGCCCTATCTCTCACCAGCTTAAAGATACTCATGGCTCCCGAGCATCCACAGAATAAAAACTGAACTTCACAGCATGTAAGCCCCTCCACTATTTGTCTCAAATGAGATTTTTGAGTTTATCCTATAGGATATTCCCAGGATCCAAACTTGGCATTTTCTTTCCCACCTGTCCCTTCCACCTGTAACACCCTCTGCCCTGCCTCATCCTGGCTGACTCTTGTACATCCTCTAAGACCCCTAAGCTGTCTCTGAGCCTATGGCTCCAACCCTACATGAACACACAGCTGTCAATGGGAAGCTACAATGGAGGTTATGTTCTGTTAAACCTGTTGTAAATTGAAAATATCAGAGGCCAGGTGCAGTGGCTCATGCCTGTAATTGCAGCACTTTGGGAGGCCTAGGTGGGTGGATCATGAGGTCAGGAGATGGAGAGCATCTTTGCCAACATGGTGAAACTCCATCTCTACTAAAAATACAAAAATTAGCTGGGTGCGGTGGCTGGGTGCCTGTAATCCCAGCTACTCAGGAGGCTGAGGCAGGGGAATCACTTGAACCCTGGAGGCAGAGGTTGCAGTGAACCAAGATCATGCCACTGCACTCCAGCCTGGTTACAGAGTGAGACTCTGTCTCAAAAAAAAAAGAAAGAAAATATCATAGGTCAAAATGCATTTAATACACATAACCTACCAAACATCATAGCTGAGCCTAGTCTACCTTAAGCATCCTCAAAACACTTATATTCACCTACAAATGGGCAAAATCATCTAGCACAAAACCTATTTTATAATAAAGTGTTGCACGTGTCGCGTAATTTATGCTGAAAGTGAAAAACAGGATGGTTGTTTGGGTACTTAAAGTGTGGTTTCTACTGAACACATATCACTTTTGCAGCACCGTAAAGTCAAAAAATTAAGTCGAACCATCGTAAGTCAGGGGCTGTCTACACTGAGCACCACCATCATCACCCCACCTGCATCTCAATGATATTTACTCACATTCTAGGTAGGAAATAAGGGCCATGTGTAATGCCTCCTCTTGTGTGTTAGCCCAGCACAGCGCCTGGCACAGAGCAAACCTTGGCCAACATTTAACTCCAGGGTTCTTATCCCTTTTTGTTACAGACTACTTAGGCATCTGGGGAAACCCTACCGGCCCCTTCTCAAAGTCATGCATTCAAAAACATGAAACAAAATACAAAAGATTACAAATGAAACAGATTTTATTGAAAAAGCCATCAAAATATTTTTACAGGAAATGTGTGACTTAGTAATGAATGTGCTTCTGCATTAAGGTATTACATACCAAGATCTAGTTCAATTGTTCTGGGACCATTTGTTGAAAAGACTACCTTATCTCTATTAAATTAACTTTGTACCTTTATAAGAAATAAATTGACTCTGTGGGTCTAAAAATAAAATAACAAGATCTAGTGGTGCATTCTAATGACTGTCATTTCCCAAAAGTGAGGAGCATGGAGACTATTTCAAAACATCCGCAACAACTGAAAGTGATAGGAAAATATCTATGGGGTCTGCTAACATTAGTTTGAATTATATGATCAATTAAAGAAAAAAAAAGCTTTTAAAAAATTAATGTTAGTTTTATTTAGAAGTCTTAATGAGGACTACAAACTAAGCCCTGTAGGCCAGCCCTTCAGAGAGGTTGTCTCAGACTGCTCCTGCACAGTATCTTAATCTACTGTTTATATATAAGTAGTGGGGGTAGTTCTATTAAAGCAGAATTATATTGAGTTTTGGGTGTAAGAGCATATCTGTTCATAGCAGCATAATTACTAACCTGTTCAGACGTTATCTTATGTGCAGGAAGAGGCAAGGACTAGCGTCATTTATCATTTCAGGAATACAGTGACTCAGACAAGAGATGTGGCAGGGAGGTAGGGGCATAATTCTATCCTATTTTATCTTGAAAACATCTTTCCAGAGAGCTGTACTTTGTCACAGAGTCAGAGACTTTAGGAAATTATGCTGGCGCACAGAAATGAGCAAACAGGCCGGGGGCAGTGGCTCACACCTTTTATCCCAGAGGCCGAGGAGGGCAGATCACAAGGTCAGCAGTTCGAGACCAGCCTGGCCAACAGGGAAAAACTCCGTCTCTACTGAAAATACAAAAATTAGCCGAGCATGATGGCAGGAGCCTGTAGTCCCAGCTGCTCGGGAGGCTGAGGCAGGAGTATTGCTTGAACCTGGGAGACGGGGGTTGCAATGAGCCGAGATTGCCCCACTGCACTCCAGCCTGGGCAGCAGTGTGAAACAAAAAAAAAAAAAAAGAAAGAAAAGAATTGAGCAAACATGGCTTATGTTTGCTACTTTGTGTCATAATAGGAAATTGCCAATATTGCACCAGTTTTGAACTACAAAATCAGCAATTGCACGTGGTTTTGTCTAACTCTACTCTGGTTTGTTGCCTATACTCATTGAAGGAAATCCTCAATATAGGTAGAGGTAAGTGAAACCAATTATTTTTCCCTATCCAAGTTCATAGACCTCCTGATTTACAGCACGGATCCCTTGAGAACTCCGAGGCAATGACTCAGCCAAGGATACTCAGCCAAAGTATCTCCCCTTTGTGCCCAGGGCCTGCCCGGCCTCCCCCTACCCAAGTAGCTAACCAGTGTCGGCCTCTGCCTCCTACAGGCTCTCTGTTCCCGCAGCTGAAGCCATCGGAGAGCGTCTTCAAGGTCATCTTCTGGCTGGGCTACTTCAACAGCTGTGTGAACCCGCTCATCTACCCCTGTTCCAGCCGCGAGTTCAAGCGCGCCTTCCTCCGCCTCCTGCGCTGCCAGTGCCGTCGTCGCCGGCGCCGCCGCCCCCTCTGGCGAGTCTACGGCCACCACTGGCGGGCCTCCACCAGCGGCCTGCGCCAGGATTGCGCCCCGAGCTCGGGCGCCGCGCCCCCCGGAGCGCCGCTGGCCCTCACCGCGCTCCCTGACCCCGACCCCGACCTCGACCTCGACCTCCCAGACATGCCCGAGATGCAGGCTCCGGTCGCCAGCCATCGAAAGCCTCCCAGCGCCTTCCGCGAATGGAGGCTGCTGGGGCCGCTCCGGAAACCCACCACCCAGCTGCGCGCCAAAGTCTCCAGCCTGTCGCACAGGATCCGCACCGGGGGCGCGCAGCGCGCAGAGGCAGCGTGCGCCCAACGCTCAGAGGTGGAGGCCGTGTCCCTAGGCGTCCCCCACGATGTGGCCGAGGGCACCACATGCCAGGCCTACGAGTTGGCTGACTACAGCAACCTACGGGAGACTGATATTTAAGGACCCCAGAACTAGGCCGCGGAGCGTGCTGGGCTTGGGGGTAAGGCGGCCTAGAGAGGGAGGCTGGCTTTGTTCAAGAGGCGCCATGCAAATCAGAGACCCGGAAACTGATCGAGGTAGCTGCTCTGTGGCCTCCCTGAGAAACTGGGCGGAGCTTGAGGCGGAGCCCTTGAAAGGTGAAAAGTAATGGGGCCCCCTGCTGGACTCAGGTGCCCAGAGCTCTTCTCTTAAAAGGGAAGGACTGCGGGCTCCGTGAGGCCGTTTGCTCCCAATCCGTGTTTGAGAAACACTGCCCCATCCCCCATGCCCTGAACCCTGAGCAAACAGCGCCAAGCATGGCCAGGAAAGCCTCCCTCTCCTCTTCTGGGGAATTGGAACAGAAGCTTTGTGGCCAGTTGCCCCAGTGCCTCCCTTAGGGAAAAAGTCAGTGGGGCCAAGGCTCCTTAGTGGACACATTCTTACTGCCGACTGGAGGAACCCAGTAGACCTACCACCACCACCCACAAGCTTTGGTGGCAGATTGGCCGTCATACAAGTCTGTTGTATTTATCCATGGGCCCTCTGTCCACCGCCCAGGCTCCTCCGTGCACCCCCATCACCTGGCCCTGCCCCTCATTACTTCCCCTCAAGGGCCTTACTGTTTACACTCTGTACATAGCTCATTGTGCCTGTGCCCATCACTTCTTGCTGGGATTCCGAGCCACCAATTGGAGAGCTTTATTTGTCATTTTGAGACATATTTATTGGTAAGAGTACTTCTATTTTGTCCACACTGTGCAAACTGTCCCTCTTTAGCCCGTAACCCATAAAAATCTACTTTTTTCCCCTAAAGTCTTTCAAGAACTAAAGGCCCACAAAAGAATAGATTGGATCTACATTTGCCTTTCTGGTTAACTTAACTGACTCTTTAACTGATGGCTGCTGGGACTTTTAGCATAACCAAAGGACTTGGGAGTTTGCTGGGCTTTAACACTCAGATGATCAGTCTTGTGAACCAAATAGTAATCCTAAGCACAAATATTCCCTTTGTCAGTCTCCCCAGATGCTTATGTGATGTTCTGAAGGCCTCAGTGAGGAAGGCAGCCATCAGGTAAATGGGTGAAACATAACTTTACATGAAAAGATATACAAGCTCAAGTAAGTAGATGTACATGGCTAGTAAAAGAACCCATACCTAGGAACCATATTTGTTAGCTTTGAGTAAAATGTCATATTCCCATTTGTCGTATTCCCATGAGGTTGCAGGCATTTTGGCTGGATAGTATCAACCACATATATCCAACCAACATGGAGGGTGATGGCGTGGCCCAGTGGACCCTTGGGAGGAGAGTGGGTTAAACAATACACTGGGGTGTCTGGGGGTGCTCTGAACTGGATGACCCAGCTGCTGGGGCCACATAGACCAGTATTTTGAGCCCAAAATTTCCATTTTGTACTAGGCAGGTAGTCTCTCTGAAAGATCACCCACAATTTCAGGCATCTCACCAAGTTTTAGGGTTAAAAAGGCAGCCAATATCAAGGCTTTGAAGCAGACATTTCACATCATGAATCTACAGTAGGTTCTGAGCTTTCAGGCCTGGCCCTCCCCCGCTCCCCACCCCACCCCACCCCACCCCAGCCCCTGAGGCGCAGGAAACCGGGAAGTTTATGGCTGGGAGCATGTTGGGTGCTGACAGAATGTCACATACTCCAAAGAGGCTCCACTTGGCAGCCCATTGGCTGCCCTAAAGCTGGGGACATCAGGGGACAGCCCTCACTGTCTTCTGGCAGAAGGGGACATCTGTCAAATCAGTGGTCAGTAAGGGGGCAGACCCCAAGTGTCAAAGAATTGAACATTGACCTCTGGGACAGGGGTGAGCCACACCTGTTTCAACAGCAGCCTTGGGTTTGTGGAGGGTTTCTAAGCAGATCAAAAGTTGGTTCTGTTGCCAGAAAGGGGTCCTTATCGAGACCCCAAGAGAGGGTTCTTGAGTCTTGCACAAGAAAGAATTCAAGACAAGTCCATAAAGTGAAGGCAAGTTTATTAAGAAAGTAAAGGAATAGGCCAGGCACGGTGGCTCACACCTGTAATCCCAACACTTTGGGAGGCCAAAGTGGGTGGATCACCTGAGGTCAGGAGATTGAGACCAGCCTAACCAACATGGTGAAACACTGTATCTACTAAAAATACAAAAAATTAGCTGGGCATGGTGGTGGGCACCTGTAATCCCAGCTGCTTGGGAGGCTGAGGCAGAAGAATCACTTGAACCCGGGAGGTGGAGATTGCAGTGAGCCAAGATCACGCCATTGCATTCCATCCTGGGCAATTCCATCTCAAAAAAGAAAAAAAAAAGGAAAGTAAGGGAATAAAAACGGCTACTCCATAGGCAGAACAGCAGCTTGGGCTGCTCAGCTGCTTGTACTTACTGTTACTTCTGGATTATATGCTAAACAAGTGGTGGACTATTCATGAGTTTTCCAGGAAAAGGGTGGGTAATTCCCAGAACTGAGGGTGTCTCCCCTTTATAGACCATATAGGGTAACTTCCTGGCATTGCCATAGCATTTATAAGCTGGCATGGTGCTGGTGGGAGTGAATTTAAACATGCTAATACATTATAATTGGCACGTAATGAGTGGTGAGGACAATCAGAGGTCACTTTCTTGGCCATCTTGGTTTTGGTGAGTTTTGGTCAGATTCTCTCCTGCGGTCTGTTTTATCAGCAAGGTCTGATTTTTATGGACCTCCTGTCTCATGCTGTGACTAAGAATGCCTAACCTCCTGGGAATGCAGCCCAGCAGGTCTCAGCCTCATTTTACCAGCCCCTATTTAAGATGGAGTCACTCTGGTTCCAGCGCCCCTGACAGTCCCACATGCCAGGGCAGCTGATCCCACAGAAAGTCAACAGTGGGGGCAAGAGGGGAGGATGGGAAGAGAGCCTTCATTAGGAGGATTTGTGGGCCTCCCTGCCCCAGTTAACAGAGTGGGAGTGGAAGCAGGAAGGCCACAGCTTGCCCTGTACTTGCTCTAGGCATGGTAATCAATCTGCAAATCACATCTGATATTGGAGCCTCAGCCCCCTGTCTCTGGGTGCAGGAGCCCCCTTGACACAGCTATCTCCTCTTGTATCCCGGCACCAAGTAGTGAGCCTACGGGAGGGGCAGGAGGGCTTCAGAGCCCCCAGCAAGAGCATGCCACAGCAAGGGCATCCAGGGACCTTGTTCTAATCATCAGTAAAGCACTGTGCTGCTATCATTGGTTCTGGGATGTGGCAAAGGGTCATAGTGGCCAAGAGGAAGGGAAAAAATAGCAACAGCCCTTCTGGAGGAGACAGCCTCTTGGGAATGATTTGGGGACCATCTGAAAGAAGTGCACTCACTATGCCAATTCCTGGGTCCTCAGGTGCTCAGACCCCCAGCCCAGCCCACATATCTGATTATAGAGACTGTCCCTGAGATGCAGTTAAAAAAAAAAAAAATGGGGCCATTGTCTCCAGCTAGTAGAAATTTCTTTACATGATCCTCAGGGGATGGGGTGAAGCCTGAGGGAGTTTGTGAATGGGAGAGGGATGGTCCTGTGAGATGTGACCAGGACAGAAGCAAGCCTCCGAGGATACTAGCATTCACCCAAGTGCCCACCCTCCATCCTTAAGGAGCCTCGTTCCTACTTCCCACCCAAGGACCCCAGCTCCAAACTGCCCTTCCTCTCCAGCTGGGCTCTCACTGCCCACCTTGCTTTCTTCCCACACTCTTCCCGGGACCTCTGTCCCCAGCATCCCCAGGGCTGCTTTTGCAAGTCACCTGGGACCTTCCATTTCCCTGCTCTCCTCCCCGCCTTCTGGGCTGCAGTCCACACTGGTGGCCGCCCCTGCTTCCTGGAATGTTCCCGCCCTGCCTCTGAGCACACCCGCTGGGATCTCTTCTGACCTGCTGACCCTCCTCTTTCTCCGCCTCCTCCGCAGGCTTCTCACTCCATTCTTAAATGCTCCCCAGGGTTTTATTCCTCTTTTTCTCAACTCTTCACACAATTTCATCCACTCCATGTCATCTCAATGACCACTTGTACAGAAATGACTCCCAAGAGGCTGTCTCTAGCTCCAGATGTACATGTTCACCCTTCCCCTTGGTGATCCCCCACACACCGCAAATATCCAAGGCCACTCACCTCCTGCAATATCTCCTATCTCTTCTGTTCCCTTGGGCATGATGGCGCCTCTGACCCTGTGGCCCTCTCCACTCCCTGTCTTTCAGAGTCCTCACCTTCCCCACAGACCCCCTGCTAAGCCCTGCACTTCCTGCAGCCTCCCTCATAGCTCACACCCAGTCATCCTGGGTTGCGACAGAATCTGCACCTGCGTTCCCGCAGGGGAGAGGGCTCTGTCCCCAGGGCTGCTTGGGGCTGCGCTTAAGTGTGTACTGAATGTTGGATCTGGGGAGTTGGCCCACCGACCCTTCTCTGGGAACTGCCCCATTACCTGTCTGGCGGCTGACTCGCCATCACCATCCTTGCAAGGCCCTCATCCCCGCTGGTCCCGCAAATCCTCTGAGGGCTAGAGGCTGCAAGGAACCAGCTGTGCCCTGGACTTTGGCAGGAACATGGGCTCCACACACCCTCCAGGTCACCTAACCCTCCCATCTGGAGCCCTACCCTGCCCCCAAAGGCTCCTCACTGCTATGCTGCAAGCCAGCCCCTTAGTTCCTCCTCCTCCGGGTGCTGACAGGTCCTGGAGAAAGTTTTGGGACCTCAGTCACCCTCCCCTCAGTGACCTGTCAGAGCTTTAGCTCCTCAGAGCCCTCCTGACCCTTTTCTATTCCCATCCCACTACACCCCCAGGGGTTACATGTTCACTGTCCACTTGGAAAAAAAATCCTTTTTTTTTTTTCTTCCTTCTTGTGGCTTCAGGAAAGCATAAAACCAGATGCTTGTAAAGGCTAAACTGCTCCTGCAGCCTCTGCTCAGAATGGCTCTCTGGGGAGCCCAGTGGACCGGTGCTCGCTGGGCCCATGTGGTGCTGGCGCCTTTGGGCAGGGGCACATTGCACTGCTGTCAAGGGTCTAGGCAGGACTTTCTTCCCTTCCCCAACCCCCAGCAGTGACACAAAGGGAATTCGGAACAGGACGCCAGCTACATTTTAAAATTGCTTTGGCCTGGGGAGGTACTAAGTGGAACTTGCAGGATATGCTTGGAATGAAGAAGAAATCAGGAGCTAGGGCCACAACAGGCTGAGCTGTCAGAGCTGGGAGTCGGAGGTAAGAGTACATCAGAAGCATCTGCAGACACCTCAGCCGTGACATTTGCAGATGTTTCTTCCAGGATTCACAGGACTCCACCATATGGTTTTGGCCCACCTCCTTCTGTCCTGCTGGAACCGGAAAAAGGAATCTCAGTTCCTTTTCCTGAGAGAAGGAATCAGCTTGGTCCCTCCCATTTATCTACTAAGCCAAGCCACAAAGGTCATTGGTCCCTGGCCAATCTATAGATTGGCTAACTTTGGATCAGGTCTGAACAGTGAGGGTGGGCACATGGGAGCCAGATGGATCATGTGAGGCAAAACACAGCTATCTGGGCACCAGCATCTGAGGGCGGGGGCGGGGCAGATAATGGTGACATTGCTAGCACACCGGATCAGCTAAGAGCACAGCTGCAGGCAATAAGCAAGTAGATCAGTAGCTGCTTAAACCTGGGGCATTATTTTTCTTACTTGATAAGTTATATGGTAGGTGGTTGCTGGTATTGCCAGTCAAGGACCCAGGCTCTTTTGTTTTGTTTTTTGAGCCAGAGTCTCACTCTGTTGCCCAGGCTGGAGTGCAGTGGCACTATCTCAGCTCACTGCAACCTCGGCCTCCT